CACTATTGTACGTTCAAAGAGTTAAATCCATTTACACGCCGGCTGGCGGTAATATTTTTTGGGTGATTAGTGCATTCCAGGGACACAAACGTACAGTTTCCAGCCAACGGCAAGCTGCAATTGACCGATTGTGTACAATAAGCTGACTTTCTGCTTCACAACCACTATTGTACGTTCAAACAGTTAGATCCATTTACACGCCGGGTGGCGGTAATATTTTTTGGGTGATTAGTGCATTCCAGTGACATAAACGTACAGTTTCCAGCCAACGGCAAGCTGCAATTGACCGATTGTGCTAAATAAACTGACTTTCTGCTTCACAACCACTATTGTACGTTCAAAGAGTTAAATCCATTTACACGCCGGCTGGCGGTAATATTTTTTGGGTGATTAGTGCATTCCAGTGACATAAACGTACAGTTTACAGCCAACGGCAAGCTGCAATTGACCGATTGTGTACAATAAACTGACTTTCTGCTTCACAACCACTATTGTACGTTCAAAGAGTTAAATCCATTTACACGCCGGCTGGCGGTAATATTTTTTGGGTGATTAGTGCATTCCAGTGACCTAAACGTACAGTTTCCAGCCAACGGCAAGCTGCAATTGACTGATTGTGTACAATAAACTGACTTTCTGCTTCACAACCACTATTGTACGTTCAAAGAGTTAAATCCATATACACGCCGGGTGGCGGTAATATTTTTTGGGTGATTAGTGCATTCCAGTGACATAAACGTACAGTTTACAGCCAACGGCAAGCTGCAATTGACCGATTGTGCTAAATAAACTGACTTTCTGCTTCACAACCACTATTGTACGTTCAAAGAGTTAAATCCGGTTTTATTTTTGGGGTGCTTATTGAATTAAAGAGTATGTCAGACAACACGCAGAGGAGTGGCAGAGGAGGCAATGTTTCAGGAGCGAGCAGACGTGGCAGCAGAGGAAGGGGTCGAGGCAGCACTAGTCGCAGCCAGAGGCCAGTGCTCCCGGTGTCATCCAGCGGTCGTGTCTCCACCGACAACCCTGCCGTCATCGATTGGTTGACTCGGTCATCTTCCTCTTCCCAGGTCACCTCTGACACCTACAGCCAACGGTCGGTGGGTACGTCAGACACAACCGTTAGTTGGCATGGCCCGGGAGCAAGCCCACTGAAATCACGTGTCCTCGACCTGCCCCTGTCCTTTGGTGTTCCCTCACCAAGCGAAGTATCGCATGCTGTGGGCTCAGCCCCACTGTACAGTGAGGAAGAGCTAACAGAGGGCGGTCAGGAACGGGGGGAGGCATCCGCCTCTTCAGCAGCCAGGCGAAGAAGTACTGGCGAGGAGAGTGGCTTGGTAGCCGGTCTAGAGACAGGTCTGTCTCCTGACCCACACGCAGCCGAGGGGGCTAGTAGTGACGCGGAGACCCTAATTGATGATGATGAGGCTGATCGCACTTGGCAGCCTCGTCGTCATCAGGCTATTGCTTCCGCATCATCAGGAGAAGAGGGTGCCAGCTTGCCAGCGAGCAAAACAGTCGGTGGGTTGCCCAGGAGGCAGCAGGGTCGCAGCAGTGTCAGTGGAGCCAAACGGCCACGGAGTAGAGCACCAGCTCCACTGCAGCCTACCACCACGGCCGGTAGTGGTGCCGGTGTGCACGGAGGAAGTAGCAGTCAGCCAGTGAGGAGTAGCGGGGGCAAAGTTTCCTACTCGGCGGTGTGGCAATTTTTCGTCAAGCCGCCCGAGGAAGTAAACGTAGCCGTATGTCGACTATGTGGCCAGAAAGTCAAGCGTGGCCAGGGGGCCAATGTTGGGACTACAGCGTTGCGTCAGCATATGCAGCGTCGCCATTCGGTGGCCTGGGAAAACCGTGATAAAGATACGGCGGTTCTGCCTGCCCCAGCCCCCGCTCCATCACCCGCTCCGTTACTTGCCCCGTCACCCGACGTCAATCGCCCTCTATCAGCCAGTCAAGGCTCCAACACCTCTGCTGAGGGGAGTTGTCGCTCGTTGGCATCTTCCGCTCGTTCAGATGCTCCTTCTCCTGCTACTCCTCTTCACGGATTCCGTCAGCAGTCTTTCTTGGAATCCGTTTCCAAGAGACAACAGTTTGCGAGCACGCACCCGACGGTGCAGAAGCTGAACGTCCTCCTGTCCAAGTTGCTGGTGCTGCAGTCCCTCCCTTTCCAAGTGGTGGACTCAGCACCTTTCCGAGAAATGATGGCTTGTGCCGAGCCGCGGTGGAGAGTGCCAAGCCGGCATTTCTTCGCCAAAAAGGCAGTGCCAGCCCTGCATTCACATGTAGAAGAGATGGTGGGCCAGTCTTTGAGCATGTCGGTCTCTGCCAAAGTGCGCGGCAGCGCCGACGTGTGGAGCTGTAACTACGGTCAGGGACAGTACATGTCATTTACGGCCCACTGGGTGAACGTGGTGCCGGCACAGCCGCACCAGCAACTTGGACAGGTCACGCCGCTTTTGCCTCCACGTTTGCACGTCCTTGGTCCAGCAAAGATGTCCGCCTCTACCACCTCTTCTTCCGCCGTGTCCTCAGCCGCCACCCCCGTGCCAAGTCCCATTACCCGACCGGCATATCACATGTGCAGGGCGCAACGGTGTCACGCTGTGCTGCACCTGGTATGCCTTGGCGAACGTAGTCACACAGGGGAGGAACTTCTGAGTGTAATGAACAGAGAAATCGACAGATGGCTGTCTCCGCGCAAACTGAAAATCGGAACCATGTTGACCGACAACGGAAAGAACATGGTGTCTGCTCTGCGTCAAGGAAGGTTGTGCCATGCGCCATGCATGGCTCACGTGTTCAATCTGGTTGTCAAGCGGTTCCTAAAATCCACCATCCCACTGCAAGACATCCTTAAAATGTCACGCAAACTTTGCATGCATTTCAGCCATTCCTGCACCGCAAAGCACACCCTCCTTGAGCTGCAGCGGCAGAACGGAATTCCACAGCATCGCCTGATCTGCGACGTTGCAACAAGGTGGAATTCAACCCTACATATGTTAGACCGCCTTTACGAACAGCGAAAGGCCATCACCGATTTCCTGATGTTACAAGCGAATAAAGGTACTCCCCTGTGTAACTTAGATGTCAGCCATTGGCAGCTCATGCGTGACACCTGCCGCTTGCTCAGGCCCTTTGAGGAGGCCACGCTATTCGTGAGTCGGCAGGACTATGGGATGAATGACGTCATTCCTCTGTTGCACGTCCTGGAACAAATGCTGTTAACAATGGCTGGTCAGGGTGCGGTAGACGTGGCGCACAGATCTCAACGCCACATGACCCCTGTGGGGGCAGGACAGGAAGAAGAGGAGGAGGTAGAGGAGGACATTGGTGCTCAGGAATTATTGAGTGAAATGGGTGGTTTTTCCACTCAGCGGACAGGAGTGGAGGAGCAGGAGCATCTGGTAGAGGAGGAGGAGGAGGAGACAGAGGACCCAGACGCACCGTGGCAGTATGCTGTGGAGATGGAGGCAGGGAGTCCCTCGCATTCCTTGGCACAAATGGCCCATAGCATGCTCGGTTGCTTGCGTAGCGACAGCCGAATAATAAACCATCAGACAGAGGGATGACTTTTGGCTGTCCACCTTGTTGGACCCTCGCTACCGTTCAAAAATGGTGGCCTTTTTCACACCTGCTGAGAGGGAGGCCTTGATAGTCGTCTCCCCACACTGCTGCTGGGGGGACTTTTTAACCTAGGCCTGTGTATGGCCTTCAATTGAAGCTGTTTCCGCTCCGCCACTCTGCCATTGGACTCTTGATAGTCGTCTCCCCACACTGCTGCTGGGGGGACTTTTTAACCTAGGCCTGTGTATGGCCTTCAATTGAAGCTACTTCCGCTCCGCCACTCTGCCATTGGACTCTTGATAGTCGTCTCCCCACGCTGCTGCTGGGGGGACTTTTTAACATAGGCCTCTGTATGGCCTTTAATTGAAGCTGCTTACGCTCTGCCACTCTGCCATGGGCCTCTTGGGTATCCCAGAAGCTGCTCAGCGGGTCAGGGCAATAAAGCTCCCGGTTCGCAGGTTGTTCCGTCTTATGGATGGAAGTACGACGGTATATGATCTTCTTCGCACCCACGGCATCACCTCATAGAATCTCTGCATTGCATCTGCAATCACAACGCTGACTTCCCGGATCGCCACTCAGCCATTGGACTCTTGATAGTCGTCTCCCCACACTGCTGCTGGGGGGACTTTTTAACCTAGGCCTGTGTATGGCCTTCAATTGAAGCTGCTTCCGCTCTGCCACTCTGCCATTGGACTCTTGATAGTCATCTCCCCACGCTGCTGCTGGGGGGGGGACTTTTTAACATAGGCCTCTGTATGGCCTTTAATTGAAGCTGCTTACGCTCCGCCACTCTGCCATTGGACTCTTGATAGTCGTCTCTCCACGCTGCTGCTGGGGGGACTTTTTAACATAGGCCTCTGTATGGCCTTTAATTGAAGCTGCTTACGCTCCGCCACTCTGCCATGGGCCTCTTGGGTATCCCAGAAGCTGCTCAGCGGGTCAGGGCAATAAAGCTCCCGGTTCGCAGGTTGTTCCGTCTTATGGATGGAAGTACGACGGTAAATGATCTTCTTCGCACCCACGGCATCACCTCATAGAATCTCTGCATTGCATCTGCAATCACAACGCTGACTTCCCGGATCGCCACTCAGCCATTGGACTCTTGATAGTCGTCTCCCCACACTGCTGCTGGGGGGACTTTTTAACCTAGGCCTGTGTATGGCCTTCAATTGAAGCTGCTTCCGCTCCGCCACTCTGCCATTGGACTCTTGATAGTCGTCTCCCCACGCTGCTGCTGGGGGGGACTTTTTAACCTAGGCCTGTGTATGGCCTTCAATTGAAGCTGCTTCTGCTCCGCCACTCTGCCATTGGACTCTTGATAGTCGTCTCCCCACACTGCTGCTGGGGGGACTTTTTAACATAGGCCTCTGTATGGCCTTCAATTTAAGCTGCTTACGCTTCGCCACTCTGCCATGGGCCCCTGTACCGCCTCCTCTTGCTGCTGCCAGGTCCAGAGTGTGTCATGGGTCCCTGTACGGCCTCCATTGCTGCTGACTTCATCGCCAGACTCTGCCATGTGCCACTTTCAGGTCTCCTTACACTGTTGGTGGGTTCCATTTTGTGATAGGGTGCTGTATGGCCTTCCATTGCTGCTGCCTCCACCGCCACCCTGCGCCATGTGCCTCTGTCGTCTGCTCACGCTGCTGACGGCTTCCGCTTTTTAACCGAGGCCTGTGTTTGGCTTCCGAATACTGCTGCATCCACCGCCACCCTGCGCCATGTGTCTCTGTCGTCTGCTCACGCTGCTGATGGCTTCCGCTTTTTAACCTAGGCCTGTGTATGGCTTCCGAATACTGCTGCCTCCACCGCCACCCTGCGCCATGTGCCTCTGTCGTCTGCTCACGCTGCTGACGGCTTCCGCTTTTTAACCTAGGCCTGTGTATGGCCTTCAATTGAAGCTGCTTCTGCTCCGCCACTCTGCCATTGGACTCTTGATAGTCGTCTCCCCACGTTGCTGCTGGGGGGACTTTTTAACATAGGCCTCTGTATGGCCTTCAATTTTAGCTGCTTACGCTCCGCCACTCTGCCATGGGCCCCTGTACCGCCTCCTCATGCTGCTGCCAGGCCCGTAATCTGCCATGGGCCCCCGTACGACTCCTCATGCTGCTGCCAGGCCCGTAATCTGTCATGGGCCCCTGTACCGCCTCCTCATGCTGCTGCCAGGTCCAGAGTGTGTCATGGGTCCCTGTACGCCCTCCCATTGCTGCTGTCTCCATCGCCACACTCTGCCATGTGCCACTTTCAGGTCTCCTCACACTGCTGGTGGGTTCCATTTTGTCATAGGGTGCTGTATGGCCTCCCATTGCTGCTGCCTCCACCACCACACTGTGGCTCCACACTCTGGTTTTGGCCCCGTGACTGCCCAAATGAGTGAAGTGTGCGGTGATTCTAAGATCGACGGCACTCATCTGCATGTCATACTGACTGACAGTATTATTTCTCTTCCCCAGCAGACTCCAAGGGCATTTAAATTAAAGGTACAGTGTTCTGCACTAATATAAAGGCTCTCTGAAGCCTAGAAACACCCTTTTTATAAGTTAAATTCGCAGCGAATATATTCGGCTCGAAGCTATTTATTCGGCGAATTCGGCGAATCAGCCGAACCGAATTTTTGAATAATTCGGCTCATAGTAGAAGTGTAACAATTCCTCTGGTACATAAGGGGTGAGAAAGAATGAGAGCTGAAGTGGTTGAGGTACTTCTTCTTTTCTAAGGAGCTCCTAATTCGCATATTGCTTCCACTGTGTTCTTGGTATGTTGACAAAGCGCAGCAGTAGCTACTTCTCCTTTTTTATTTATTTCTACCTTACCCTTTTCCAGTATTATTTTTAAAAATACATATTTGTTATATGTTAATAATAAAGAGCAAACAAAAAAAAAATCAAAGCAGGACCCTAACACAAATCACAAAGTCTATCCCCAAAATGTGTCAAACGTTTATAATGCTATTACCAAGAGTATTGTAATATTATCTCACATTTATACTATTTAATTGAAAGCAAGCAGGGATTTTTGTTTTTTTCCAGACTGCCTGGGGGTCTCTGGCTGAAATAACTAAGACTGTATTGTGACAAAGTACAATTTATTATTTTATTAAATATTTTAGATCTTGTTTACCTACAGCTAGTATTTTGTTAATCAATAGCCAGTTTCCTCCTCGTCATTTTTTTCTTGCAGTCCCAGACCAAGGCCGGATCTGTGACTGGCTGCCTGTGAAACTTGGCTTGCTTGGTCTTTAGTTCTGCTTTAAGTTCCAACTACAATGTGAATTTGTAGCACTTCTAGAGAATTTTGTTGTCCAGAGGAGAAGTATGACTAAAGAAGAGAAAGACATTATTGGATTATATGATGCAGATATTTCATGCCCCAAAGCACCATTAGAGAGTGCAGGGGAAGCATTAATCATTTTTAGTGTTTACTGTGTATGCAGAAAGATATGCCACTATATTCCATGCCTTTAAGAATATGTCCGCATTTGACTATGTCTACAAGCTGCAGCAGTCGGCATATCATACTCTATCTGCCACAAACAAGTACCCATCCAAATTATTTAATTTCAGTGTTGGCATCTATGAAAATTGCAATACATTGTTTTCCATGAAGGACAATTCAAACTGGTTACTGAATCCTGATCTAGACACCAAAATCTTGTGTACAATATTGAATACTCTAACCCACATTCCCATTAAATAAAGAGAATTTTGGGGACTGTTGAGAGGGCTGAGAGAACTAAGTGTACCCTTAACTATTTTAGTAGATGTAAAGACTTAAACAGACTTTTCTGCAGAGATGAACTGGAAGGGTGTGTTTAGAAGGGGGCAGTGGTAAGTAGAGTGATGCTTTCTCTTATAAACCCTGTAGGGATTCATGGTAAAGTATAACATATTCAAATCTTTGATAAAGGTTTTACATCAATAAATAAATGCTGATCATTGTAAGCACTCCTGTCAGTGGTAAATGGTTTGTCTCAACACCCTAGTTGCTAGATTTGCAGGAGAGCTTGTTATATTGAAAAACAACAGAGTTACTGGCTGGATCACCAGAGGAAAATAAAGGAATGAACGCTTAACAAAATGAATGCAGCCAACAGATCTAAGAATTGGTGAGTTGCAATATAAATAAGTTTGCTTTTTGTTTTAATACTACTTTACATGGAGGATTTGTCAGGAAAAAATTCTATTCACTTGGTGATCATAATTAGCTACCCCTTCACATTCTTCACTGTATAATCTGTTTCTTGTAGAAGTAGAACAAGTTGCATGGCAGAGTAGTCTAAAACTCTGGCACTCAAAATGCAGCCTATTGGTAATTATTTAAGAATACTTATAATAATAATAATAACCCTAATCATAATACATATAAAAATAATCATAGTGCAAAAATTCCTATAAATGAAGGATGTTGTTGCTAATTTTTGCACATTTTGGAGAGTTTATATTATTTTTGTACACTTTATTGGACACTTTATATGAACTTTACACTTTTTCCTACTTTTAAAGGGATTTTTGCACTTTGACTCTACTGAATAATATTTATTATTTAATTTTGTATTTAGCGCTGCTTGCAGTTCTGTGTTTTGTTTCAATTGGTATCACTTCCACTTCTCATAAATGTAATCCGTGTGATACATGCATCCACCCAGTTCTCTTATCATGCCCTCACCTTATTCTATTAACCTCAATAACAAATCAAGGTCATAAGTGCGGTTGTTACCCCTCAATGGGTTATCTGGCATTTACTCTTCCCCCGTCTGTATTCTCCACTGACTGCACCATACTTTCAGGTGAATAACATGAAAATAAAATGGGACTGATATAGTGCTCTCTGTATAACGCTTTTTATTAAAAATTCAAAGTGACACAATAATAGGGGTCCGATCATCTAAGATGCAGAAGTTGGGAATTATGTACCCCTCCAGAACCCAGAGGAGCCACCTAACCCTCATGTGACTGTAATCCCCTTGTAAACAACAAAATAATCAATATCTTCCACTTAGTAATCTAATCAACAATATACATAAAATTGTAATTATCATATATATAATCAATGTACATATAAATAAAAATAAATAAAAAAAATACATAATAAAAAAAACATTCAATAAATCAGTCTGTTGCAAATTATCCATAATATCCCATATAAATCCAAGAATAAAAGAACCGGTTAGAACAATGTTATCCTACATATACAGATATAGAGAAACAAAGGAAGTGAATCTTATGAATTGCTAATGAAATAATTTATTTCAAAATTGTTGTTGAGCCCACCCTGGGTCTACACCTTTGTTTCATATATCCAGTAAGACTCCCTCCTGCTCAATTACCTGATTAAATGATCACATCTCCAATGCTTCTCAACTTTCTCCACTGCCCAAAACTTCAGACCCCCTTGGGTCCCTATTATGGTATTCTATAAAATGTTTTGAAACAGAATGTGGTTTCAGCCCCTTCCAAATTATTAATGTGTTCTCTAACACACACCTGCAATTGCCTGGATGCTCAGCCCACATGTTGCTTATGACGGGGCATTCTAACATATACACTACCCCTTTTGGTGTTGCATGTAATAAAATCTCTTAGTGTGTACCTCCTACCCTGTATTTGTGCTACAAACTCCAAGCTTTTGCTCTCATTAACTGTTACATAGTTAAATAGTTAGTCTGGCTGAAAAAGAAAAGTTATAATCCTATACCCACAGTTGATCCAGAGGAAGGCAAAAAAAAAAACCTCCAGCAAAGCATGATCCAATTTGCTCCAGCAGGAGAAAAAATTTCTTCCTGATCTCCCGAGAGGCAATTGGATATTCCCTGGATACCTGGTTACTGTTGTTACCCTACAACCTCAACATCTTCCACATTTATAAAAAACTTTCATCCATGGAGTCAGAGTATTACCATCCTTCCTCATGGTAGGGTCTTAGAACCCTGGGGCAAATATGTTCCATAATGTAGGCACCTTCCTATATGTAAATGTAGGGCTGGATGGCAGAATGGGACCCAACATTCTATCCTTTTGCGAAATACCCCAGTGTTTTTTGGAAATCCTTCCTTTCTTTATCCCTATATTGAATATTCTAATCCAACGTGACTCTAAATTTGCAATTAGATCTTTCCCCTATTCTTTCTTTATCTAACATCAATGAACCCCTATCCATTATTTTAACTATATTTTTCTCCTCAATAACCTTGGATTTTTTCATACCCTTTCTGAAATAAACAGTCTACTAAAATAGTACTAAAACCATCAGAATCAGCTTTCCCCTCTTCCCTTGTCCATGTGACACCATATTATTCAGTGTACTCTGGTAGCCTTTTAATTTCCACCCATTGCATGGACTATCATGTTCTCCCCAGTATCTTCTTTTTCCAGGAAGTAATTAGAAAGAAAATAAAGAAGCTCAAGTCCTTAATGGATATAGTGTTAACAAATTGCCCCAAATGATTCACAATGGCTCAAAACTGATACGTTCCAAAAACGCTTAGAGAAAATAAAGATGTATAAAGCACCTGGGACAGATGGCTTACACCCACAAGTCCTCAAAGAGTCCACCTCGGCTATTTCTCAGCCACTGTTGGCTGAGAATTTTTAGAAACTGTTTAATCACTGGCGTAGTACCACTGACCCATGTCCAGTGGATGACCACCTGTGCTCACAATGTAGCAAAGCAGCTGCTTGGCATGGGACCCAGAAGCTAGTGGCACAGTGCCTACTACAGTGATTTCCAGCTTCTAGAGGGACCCAAGCTGGACCATTGTAACTATGTAAAATATCTATACTTGGAATTCCATACCTGGAAATATTCTTAAATGCCATTACTCAAGAATTAGTTTGTTAGTTTTTCTATAGGCATTCATTTAAATATGTCTAACAATCAGCAACAAATAGAACTGTATATTTGGAAAGAAATAAAGAACAATTTATGAAACCACATCTGTTGGAAATTTCGTCTCTACCTACAAGTTTAATAAAATTGCTATTCTTTAAAGTTGTGTTTTGCTGACCCATTGAGTGAAGACAATGCACAGCTATAAAAACAAGTGCCTATGAATGGGAAGATGTGGGTGTTAAAAAAAAAAAAAAAAATACACAGAAAAGTAAGCAATGAGACAAATAATAAAACAAAGAAAAAGAATGGCAAAATAAGAAGGAATTAAATAAAAAGAGTTGCACATGCCTGTGTTATTTTAAAATATACCTATTTTCATATAATTGTCAAGAAGAATATTGGGCAACAGACACACTGCTTTCAAATAAAGATTTTAAAATAAATATCTATCTATCTATAAATATATACCGTGGTGATCATTGTTTAAAGGGTGACCTAAACTACAAGACCTGCTATTATTAGCCTTTTTGGCATGGACTCTTTGCTGAGAATCTTTTTCTAAGGCTTTAACAAATCTGAGGCAGGGCCTATTATTTTTATTCATGTGCTTTTGTTCTTTTCTTTTTTACCACTCTAGTGTTATATTCCTGGAGCTAAGTATTGCTCAGTTCTTTTTATGGATTCCGTAAGAGGTCTTGGCCTTTACCCAACATTTTCTGCATTTTAACTACAAGAAATATAGTGTCAGAGACTAGAAGATTAAACTTCATGCCATTATAACAGGTATACCAGTTGATTTGTGCTAAGGTCAGGGAATATAGTGCTACACTATAATAATAAAGGATGTTATAATAATAAAGAATATAATAATAAAGGGCAGTACAGTGACTAAGTGGTTATCACTTCTGCCTGGCAACACTATGGTTGTCGGTTCGAATCTCAACTACAACACTACCTGCCTGGAGTTAGCATGTTCTCCCTGTGCCTGCATGGCTTTCCTCCATGCACTCCAGTTTCCTCCCACACTCCAAAAACATGCTGGTAGGTAAATTGACCCTAGTATGTGCATGTGAGTAGGGATCTTAGATTGTAAGCTCCTTGAGGTCAGGGACTGATGTGAATGTACAATACATATAAAAGTGCTGAAAAATTAATAGTACTATAAAAAGGTACCTGCAGGGCCGGTGCCTCCACTAGGCAAACTCGGCAGCCGCCTAAGGCACAATGCCCCCTAGGGGAGCCTGGTTGAAGCACATGTTGGCACTCTGTCTGTGTGGGACGCTGCCATGTTATGAATCATCCTTCAGCTGAGGGGAGGCAGAGGAAAGGAAGAAAGGACAGAGGGAGATGCCAGGTGTCTGGGACCAGGGTAGCAGCTGAGCTGCCACTCCTTCCAGTGTTCCTCTCAAACTCAGTCCCTTACTGCAAGCCATCTGGCACTGCTGATCACTGTAGAGTTTCAGCCCTTTTTATCCCATTCATCAGCGGAGGCAAAGCTGCACATGCAGAGGAAGGTAATGTCTGACTCTGATGTCTTGTGCCTGTGTGAGTGTAACCCGGCAGGCTGGCCATCCATCACAATGTTTCAGTGAGTGATGAGATCATCACAATCCCACAGCCTGCTCTAATAGGGCCTGGTGATCTGTGTCAGTGTTGGTGGTGATGTGTGATGTGTTGTGTTGTTTTTTTTTTGGGTGGGGGGGGGGGGGGGGGGGTCGCAAGTAGCTGGTCTTGCCTAGGGCGCAAAATAGTCTAGCCATGGGCACCTATAATAAAAAAAGAATAAAAATGTAAAAAAGAATGCTGGAAAGCCAAAATTACAGGACACTGCATTTAGATTTGTCACGCTCTTGAAGTAGGTATAAAAAATATATGTAACTAGCGACTTCTGCTTTTATTAGATTATAGGTGTTTTTCTTACCTAGCAGAACCGAGAATAGTGGGATCCTCTTTTTCTGTTAACAAACAGGAATGAGAAACAAATCTTTAAAAAAAGTGTCAGTTGCAAAGCATTTTTTTAAATGTGCACACAGCTGTGGTTAATGGTAATTGATCATGTCTCTAAAAACAGAAGAGAGGGATACAGGAGATTTATATTATAGAGGAGGGAGGTCTATTCCATAGATTGGCTGAGCACTTTACAACTTAAAGGTCTAAATTCAGACTTTGATCTGCATTTGTTTTTGTAAACAGTTAAGTGAACAAGTAGATTTTGTTATATGTTGATATTGTATATTTTGTTGAATTTTTTTTATATATGCATGTGTGTGGGTGCATGAGTGTGTTCTACACTTGTGCATAGATATTGAAGATATAGATGTATAAAATGAGAATTAAGTATTGGGTTGCACATTTAGGAATATGAGAATTGTCAAAAAAGACAGGGAGGGTTTTTGATAAAGTGCAGTTGATGTATAATTATGTGATTTGTAGGGCTTAATAATATTGCATGTGGCTCTTATATATTGTGACTTCAATGGAAATGTGAATCCAAAGAATATGTGGTGTTCCTAGCCTGAAGAAAGATGTGATCCAAAAGCCTGCTGAAGGATCACTAGTGATTATTTAAGATGGAATCTTTTTATGAAATAAAGAATATGTAAGTTTTGGAAGAGAGGTATGCAGCAGCCTTGGATTATTTACTTTATATCTATCTATCTATCTATCTATCTATCTATCTATCTATCTATCTATCTATCTATCTATCTATCTATCTATCTATCTCTTGTAGCTTGTAATTAGTTAATTGGTTCAGTAATTTGACATCAGATTCTGCTTTTCTGGGCTTTTGGATATTTAGAAAATTGTGCATTCATAGAAATGTATTTTAAAAAATAAGATGCAAAAAAAATAAAATAAAAATGACAGGAGGAAGAAGAAGATAGCTGTTAATTGGAGTTTAACAACAAAAAAGAAAACATTATCAGCTCTAACTTGCCAGCCAGCCTGCAAACAAACTGAATTAACCTGTCTAACAGTATGCGTTAATTTGCAAATACATGCGTAAGCTACAGAGCATCCCATGGCACCCCATTATTCTGTAGTTCCTAACTCTCCAATTTTAAGAGCCCCCATAGTAGAGGCACATGTATTTAATGGATAGACAAAGGGCAGATGGACCTGAGGGAGCCCACCCCTCCTTAACCGCCTCCCGTCTACCATATAAAGTAATGACAGGCGCAAGGCAGTTCTCTCGTTCTGGGAGGACGTCATATGACGTTCTCCCACTTTAAACACGCATGCGCGGCTCTGGGAGCGTGCAGCGCGGCGATCGGTGGTGTGCTGTGTCCCAGGGATCACCAATCAATGGAAAGAGATGAAGATGTCGGCTTGGTCATGTGATCAGCTGTGTCCAATCACAGCTGATCATGTGTAAATGGGGAAATGTCGGTTATCGGCATTTCTCTCCTCATCATGGCTGTCACGCTGACAGCTCGAGAGGAGAGGAGAGCCAGTAATCGGCATTCCTCAGAGGGGACATCTACACTGATCATCAGGGCACTGATGATCAGTGTGCCCTGATGATCAGCGTAGCTCCAGCAGTGCCACCTGTCAGTGCCCATCAATGCCAGCTGTCAGTGCCCATCAGTGCCCATCAATGCCACATGCCAGTGCCTACCAGTGCACATCAATGCCACATATCAGTGCCCATCTGAGCTGCCTTTCAGTGTCATCAGTGCCAGTCAGTGCCACCTATCAATGCCAGTCAGTGCCACCTATCAGTGCTGCCATCAGTGCCAGTCAGTGCACCTATCAGTACCCATCAGTGCCGCCTATCAATGCCAGTCAGTGCCGCCTAACAGTGCCAGTGAGTGCCACCTAACAGTGCCAGTCAGTGCCGCCTATCAGTGCCAGTCAATGCCGCTTATCAGTGCCGCCTATCAGTGCCATATATGAGTGCTGCCTTTCAGTGCCCATCAGTGATGCCTGTCATGTCCATCAGTGTCACCTACTAGTGCTTCCTTATCAGTGCCCATCAGTGCCACCTATCAGTGCCCATCAGTGCAGCACTGCAGCCTATCAGTGCCCATCACTGCAGCCTCATTACCGCACATCAGTGAAGGAGAAAAATCACTTACTTACAAAATGTTATAACAAAAACTAAGAAAAAAAAAATATTTTTTTCAAAATTTTCAGTTGTTTTTGGTTTGTTTAGCAAAAAATAAAAATCCCAGAAGTGATTAAATACCACCAAAGAAAAAGCTCTGTCTCAAAAAAATGATAAAAAAATATCATATGGGTACAGTGTTGCATGATTGCGCAATTGTCATTCAAAGTGCGACAGCGCTGAAAGCTGAAAACTGGCCTGGGCAGGAAGGGGGTATAAGTGCCCTGTAAGCTAGGGGTTAAAGGTACAGGAGCGCACCGGACACCCAGCATGTAGCACAATGGCAGCTAAGGTGTCCAGTGCACCCCCATGTGCTCCTTGCTGTGAAGACCAGTTATAGACTGGTGCAGTGGCCATTTTTTGTACTGTTGAATTGTTGGTCGAGGGGGTGCACTGGACACCTTAGCTGCCATTGTGCTACGTGCTGGGTGTCCAGTGAGCTCCTGTACCTTTAAGGAGTGGTGGGCTCCCTCAGATCCATCTTACCTTGGTCTATTCCATAAATACATGTGCCTCTACTATGGGGGCTCTTAATATTGGAGAGTTAGGAACTATAGAATAATGGGGGTGCCGTGATGAGGCTCTGTAGCTTACGCATGTATTTGCAAATGTGTGCTAACTAAACCCCTGTTTTTAACGCATACTGTTACACAGGTTAATTCAGTTTGTTTGCAGGCTGGCTGGCAAGTTAGAGCTGGGGATTTTTCTCCTTTGTTGCTTGACATGTGTCGCCCTTCCATGTGCTCCTTGCTGTGAAGGCCAGTTATAGACTGGGGCAGTGGCCATTTTTTGTACTGTTAATTGGAGTTTGTGTATCAGGAGAGCTGAACCACTGGAAGTTGCTGTGAAGTATGACAGTTCTCTAAACTGTATGAGGGGTACATAATAGGGATGAGTATATGCAAATGTTTTAGACTACATAGAAAGATACCCATCTTACAAATCTATACCACTGTAACCAGAAGCCAGAAAAGCTTTCATTTCAATGAAGCAGCAGTACAAAGAGAGAGTATGCACTGTATTACCATTAAAGAGGGACGTCTGGCACCATTCATGTAGCATTTCAACTGTACACATCATGGGAATACCACAGCTATATTCATGGCATACTCAGTTTTATCAACAGTACACTAAATAGGGTATCCTCTGAACAGCTTGCTGTAGGTATACCACCTTTGCTTTGTTTCCCTGTGGCATCCCACTTTCTCTTTCTGCATTATATATTTCTCAGGCAATGTGCCTTACTGGGCAGTAGAGATGTATTTTATTTGTTTCTAGTTTTAGAGAGGTGTTGTTTTTAAATATTTAAAAATATATGTGAAAGCTGCATGCTGTGCAATGTGCCTCTGATTAGTGCAGTTTCTGTACTAGGCACTCCTACCTACCTGCACTCTTCCCTGCCCTTAGTAAGGGTAGCCAGAATTCCCCTACAAACGTTCTTACCATTTTTGTAGATGCTGTAATTTACAGGTGTACTGATGCTGTGTACTAATAACAGGACCCATATTGGTTGGGGAGCCATGGTAGTGTTTTGTGAGTGGGTGAAAAAGTCATGCGGAAGAGGCATGGATGAGTACTGCCCAGTCCTCTGCCAGATGATGCATTCAGCTGTTAACACAATTAACCTTTATGGCTTATATAAAGCTGCCTTCCTATAATGGAAACACTGGGCATTTATATGATCTAAGGCTGGCCATACGCTATACAATTTTCTTACAAATTTCTGATCAATTTCTGCCTAATTTCCTTTAGATTTACCTTCAACTATGTAGTGCAAGAGCCTGTCTAATTGGATACAATTGAAAGTGTTGTTTAGGTTTGACCTCTTATTATATGGTTTTTAGAAAATCTAAAGCAAAATTTGCAAACAAATTGCATAATCTATGACCAGCCTAATAGATGTTTGGGTCTTCAGTAAACCACAGAAGAAAAGCATACTCTATACCCCCATGGTGCCATTGAATGCATACCAGAAATTAATACAACATTGATATACCAAAATTAGGAAGTAATAAGACTCTTTATGCACACAATAAATTACCTTTTACCATTTTGCTCTCAGTATTTTCAGCAGGGTTTTTTCCATTAAAGACCAAATGCAGAAACAAAAAAAAAATGTTAAGGCCACGTTTCCTCTTTACGTAGCCACAATAGTAAAAAAAAAAAAAAAAAGAAGCTAAATCACGTATATCAAATGTAACATTCACTTAACTTTTTAGTTCCTTCACCTTGGCAAAGGGTAAGACCATATCTATTTTTAGGAAACGTGTAACTGCTTGCTGAAGAATCATAAAATCTGTTTATTTTTTTATTAACATAGGTAAAAGAAAAAGAAAGAAATCTATGATGGAAGCAACTACATTTTCAGATTATACACCTGATTATGATTATTTCATAGTTTCCCCGTGCAACAAAGAGGATGTAATAATGTTTGCAACTCTTTTTACAACCATTTTAAATTCCCTTATTTTTATTTTTGGGATAACTGGAAATTGCCTTGTCCTCTGGATTATAGTCACATACGAAAGTCTGGAGTCACTTACAAACATCTTTATATTTAATCTGTCTATTGCGGGCCTGATTTTAACATCCTGTCTGCCATTTTTTAGTGTCTACCAAAATCAAGGATGGGTATTTGGGGCAATGGCTTGCAAAGTCTTCAGCATACTTTTCTCAATAGGATTTTACAGCGGACTTATCTTCTTGACATTTCTTACATATCATCGTTATCTTGCAGTTGTGGATCCACTATCTGCTTTAAAAGCCAAAAAACCTTTGTTTGGAATTATGATTACTGTGCTTGCCTGGTTAATGAGCATAGCTGCTTCAGTCCCTGTGATGATCTTTCAAGTACATAGCACAAATGGTGATCTTAACAAATGTGAATATGATCAAGTATTCCCTGTGTTGGTAAGCCACTATCAACAAAATATCTTCTTTCTACTTGCCTTCTTTTCTATCATATTCTGTTATTATAAAATTATAAGGACATTACAGCAATCTCGATCACAAAGGAACCACAAACCTGTTAGGCTCATTCTTATTATTGTCCTGGTATACTTTTTCAGTTGGACACCTTACAATGTTACCATCTTGTTACAATCTTTTCACTATCAACAGTTTATTATGGAATGTGAATTAGTTAGACGTATTGACTATGCAAAATATGTTAGTGAAAAGATAGCACTTTCGCATTGTTTCCTGAACCCTATTTTGTATGCTTTTGTTGGGATCAAATTCAGAAGACATTTAAAGCATCTGATAAAATGTTATTGCCCTTGCAAGCAAGAAGAGATGCGTGGAAATAGAAATAGTTCCCATGACCATTTTCACAATGGAATAGACTCTGTTTACTAATGAAAACTGTACAATGTATTACCCAGAGCCATGAAAAAGGAAAAGGCATTACTTTAAATAATCAAAGTACTTTCCCAGGGGTACTGTTAAATGTATAACTCTTAAATAAATATTCTCTACTGTCAAAGATCCTTTTTCTCAGCAATAACATAATCATTTAATATGTATTTGGAAATTAAAAGAATCATAAAAGATTATTAGTATGTATTTTATTATAACTGCATTACAGTATCTTTTTATGTCTCTCACAAAATAAAGAAAGCATTGGTAGCAATGAAATTAGAAATTGTTACATAATACAAAAATCATAGTAATCTCTTGTATGTAATACTTTTCAAAAGAATATATCTTCTCAACAATAGTGTTCTCTGCAGCAGTAGTCTACTAATTAACTAAGTAATTTGTTTGAGCTGTCTACAGTTGATTGGTGATTTATATACAGTTGTTAATATGCATTGGGGTCGATTTACTAAAGGCAAATAGACTGTGCACTTTTCAAAGTGCAATTGCACTCTGCAAGAACAATTGTTCCATAGCTTAGTTAATGAGCAGAAGCTTTGCTGACTGCCATCATCCAACCATCTGCAAACAAAAATGCTATTTTTTTTATTTTCCTTGCATGTGATTGGATATTCTTTGCAAAGTGAAGTTTTACCTTATTTACTAAGCTCTGCAGCAACTGCACTTGCAGAGTGTAACTGCATTTTGCAAAGTGCACAGTCTCTTTGCAAAGAGATCAGATGGTAGTAAATCAACCCCAGTATATGTTACAATATTATCTGAAGTTATCAAGTTCATATTCCTGGCAGAGAGTATTGCGAAGGCCTACTGATACAGTTTTCAGGTAAACTGATGGAAATGTTAATAGAAAGTCACATATATCCACTGCAACATGTTCAGCAATAACAACTCTCATTTAGTGACATACACAGTATGATTAAATGTTGTCATCAACTCTAGATTGTAACAAGGCAGTGCACCATATATTAATGCAGTTTTAACAAATAAATGGACGAAAAAAATAATCAAAAATTATATACAAGTATGTCCGTCTATTGGGCAAGTAAATGCAAACATGTTACAGTAAAAAACAGGAATGCATGAAATAAAGTGATGCAATAAAAAGTGTCAAAAAGCATAAAACGTGTGTGCATACATATGCAGTATGTGTGTGTTAATAAGGGTGTGTCTGCAGATGTAGCAATTGTTTCAGAGCCCTTGATTTTAAGGTCTTATTCACAAAGGCACTGAGGCCCGTTTGCCAAGAATGGACCATTTTTTCTGGCGTCTCTAATCTCCAGGTGCTGCTTATAGACAGTCCATTGAAGTCTACTGGGACACAGATGCACAGACTGCACTCCTTATGTGACAGGGGTGCAGGTGAGCGCCCCCAAATGCACACTGTCTGCTGTAACTGCCACTCTTCATCTGTCAGCTGTGTACTCACAACATATCTGTAGCTACAATTAATTTTGCTCCAGCACTTAGAGGCTTTCAGTTATCCTACTGGATGTATCATATGCTGTATATGTTGAAAGTGTTAATTTCTAGTGTATTCCCGGTAACAGCCTTCTGCTGAGAAACACTCATTAGTTACACAAAAGAAAGTATTTCTTGATATATACTCCCTTTTTGCAGAACAGAGAAATAGGCTCTTCAAAGCTTTAGGGACCCAAGCTGGCGTGTGAATGCAATAATATGTGTGTGGGGAAGCAGAATTCATCTAAGTAAAGGAATTTGAACTTTATTGCTAGTCCAGATACAATCAATTTAGTTTTCTGCAGGACCTTATTTAGTATAACTAAGCACTTAACGTCACCATTTACAGCTTGAACTTTTCAGTGAATGCAACTATTTAAAATGTTGCCTGCAGCAATGCATTCAGGGCTTGAATTTATTGAGAGGCACAATCTGCATGCAGTTTATATATGCTTACTTTGATTCACATAGCATTCATTTGGGAACTCATGTTTCCTTTCTTAACCCAAAAAATGTATTAGAATTTGAAAATGCCAGATTTTTATTCTAGGATAAACAAGGGAAGGTTTCAATTTTTTCTTTTATTTTTTTGCTGACTGTGTCCTTCAAGGTTGAATTCTGTTCAACTCCTGTCTTGGAGATGTCTCCATTACAGCAACAGGCAGAAGAGAAGCAACCAAACCAATGAGTTTAGGGAAGACCTGCAGAGCCTGGAAACACATAAACAACAGCTAAAGCATATAACAGCCTACCGATAACACTTTAAATGTAGTCAGAGATACAATGTATTAGAACAGTGTCCCTACACAAGCATTTCAAAATTTCAGACATATCACACTTTAACTGCTGGTGGAGTAGGACATAATGTTGAATTGTCTATGACGGGTGTCGGCAACCCGCGGCTCCAGAGCCGCATGCGGCTCTTTTTCACCTTTGCTGCGGCTTCGGAGCACACTGCCCACCAGGTGACAGGCAATAGGGTTGCCGTAGCTCAGTGGTCGGCAAGCCGCGGCTCTTTTAACCTCCCTGGCGGTTTTCCCGAGTGTAGCTCGTGGTAGAATTTCTATACCACGAGCTACACTCGGGCTTACCATGCGGCGCTGCTCTGGGGGTCCCTGCAGCACTTACCTTGTCCTTCGTTCCCGCGATGTGTCCCCTGCAGCGTCCCCGGCCATCTCCTCCGGCCGATGCCGGCATCCGGCTTCTGTGTTCCGGTCCCCGTGACGTCGGGACGTACGGGCGCCGCCGGCGGCGGGAAATTTAAAAAATTTAAAAAATGTCTTTTTTTTTTTTTTCAATTATTAATAGTAAAACATTGCTGTTTCATCCCATTTCACATACATATTGTCCCTAGTGCTTTGTCCTGTGCCCTGCCTGCATTTTGTCTGTTCTTTCTGCCTGGAAACTTAGAAAAGTCCATGGCGTCCAAAAAGCGTCCCTTTAGGTCAAAAGCGGTTTTAGACCGGCTAGAGAACAGCGATAGTAAATCAGAACCACTTGCAGAATTGAGTGATAATGATTTGTGGGGAAATTTTCCTAAAAATTACAGCCTACAATAAAAAACTATTTCCATGCGAAAAAATGGTACCGCTTTCAGCACAAAAAATCGGAAGGAATCATACCGCCAGGGAGGTTAATGCAGCTCTTCTGTGTGCCGGGCGCCCGCTCCCCTCCCTCCTCTCGGGCGGCCGCCCCAAAAGTCAGGACTCTGCAGCTAGCCTAGCAATAGGCAAACTACGGCCCGGCGGACCTTATAATCCGGCCCGCGGAGCGTGGCAAACATTGGCTGTCAGGATGTAGGCGGGGCAGCGTGACGAACTCCTCTCCTCTCACAGTCCGCCCTGAAGACCAGAACTGCGCGGGAACACGGCGAGAGGAACGCGCGGAGTACAGGTAAGTGAATTGACACAATATGGGAATGAATTACTATAGGGGGGATGAATTACTATAGGGGGGATGAATTACTATATGGGGGATGAATTACTATATGGGGGATGAATTACTATAGGGGGATGAATTACTATAGGGGGGATGAATTACTATATGGGGGATGTATTTTCAGTTTTAAAAATGTGGCTCTCAAAATAAATTTTAATCGTGGTTTTGGCGAGATTTGGCTCAGTTGAAAAAAAAAGGTTGCCCACCACTGACCTAAGGCTATGATTGTGATTATGACGATACACTGTGGCCCTGATTAACCCTTTGCTTACTGGGCCCTTAAACCCCCTTCATGACCAGAGCGCTTTTTGCAATATATGCAGTGTCGGATTTGTTTTAAATGTTGCAATGGTTTTGCGGCTCCCAGTCTTTTTTTCCCTCTCGGAAACGGGTCCAAGTGGCTCTTTATGTCTTAAAGGTTGCAGACCCCTGGTCTATGATTTGACAATTTTATACAGCATAGTTGCATGGGCTGAAAAAAGACACGTGCCTCCTTAGATAGATTCGTCTTATCTCAGATTCTCTGCATCTTGGAAAAATAAAAAATCTGCATTTAGAACACTTCAAGATGCTGACTGCATGGTCCAGAGCAACATTTCCAACTCAGCTTTTGTGGAATCATAGAGCTCTTTTTTAAACTGCAAGGTATGTATAGCAGAGGGAGCAGTGAATGATCTCTGATGATGATGCCTGCATAGTTCTATGACCAATACCAGCAACACAGGAGCAGTGGAACACCTGTCAACTCCAGTAAGCACTACTGTCACCATCATTGACGTCCTGTAGCTGTCTTTAAGTGTGGCATTCCTCCCAGTCACTATCAAAGTGAGAGGGTACTACATTGTCCCTAAATCTAAGGGACATCCTACCCACTGATTATCAGTATAAGGACGGCCTTCTCTCAATAACCATCAATGTAAATGGATGTTTTACCTCATGCCTACCAGTCTAAGGGGGACACCTCTGGTACTGACAACCTATTTAAGGGAACACTTATTCCATTGACCACCTATAATAAGAGCAGGGGCGGACTGACAACTCATGGGGCCCCCGGCCAATAGGGGATCATGGGGCCCCTGTGTCCTTGCTCAAACTCAAAAAAAGCCTATGAAAAAGGTACCAGGGGCATCTCATGGGGCCCCCCACTGACCCCGGGCCCTCGGCAGTGCCCGAGTTTCCAAATGGTCAGTCCGCCCCTGATTAAGAGGCATCTATATCATTGATCATCTATTTATTTTCACTGTCTGTGAATGTTCTGCTTCTAATCTGGCCCTTATTATTAGTTTCACTTCTTGATTATCATTCTATTATGGTTATTATTGTGGCACTTACTCCAAAAGGAGCCGTTGTTTCTCTGGTCCCTTGTTCCTGTGCCCAGAACTCTACAAGTAGCACCTTACACTCAGACACACAAGGGCTGAAAAGGGGGGGTATTAATTGCAAATATATGTACACAGTTCCCCAATAACCAAAAGAAATAGAAAAAGCAGTAATTTCACAACAACAAGGTAATGCAATGGCAAATAATCTATACTGTTGATGGAACAGAGTAACCCCTAAACCCTATACTAGGGGTAATCCTA